GGCTATCAAACGGAGCCTAATAGTAAAGTTAAAAAACATTTCAACAATGATTTGAGAAAGTAAATTAAAATATTAGTGATGAAAATATAAAATGGCATAGATCATGATCTTATAGAATTAAATCGTCATCCAATCCAACCTAATTATAAAGTCAAATAAAAATTATTAATTAATTCATATCATACATAATACAACTTCCTAATTCATTCTCAATTAATAACATAAACTTTATTATATATTAATTAATTCATATCATACATAAAACAGCTTCAAAATTCATTCTCAATTAATAATATAAACTTAATATATAAATATACAATGCTATTAATCGTTTGCAACATCATTTTTTTCTTTCTTAAACAATGTCTTTCTAGGGTTAACTCGGAATCCTCCAATTTTTCGACAAGTGACCACAGAGAAGTACTTGAATACAACAAATTACACCAATTATTTTATTACATATTGCCTCTCCATTTCGTTTCCTATACTTACTTTCCCCCATCCCATCGTTTTCTCTCTCACTCTCACTATTTCTTCTTAACAAAAAATTATTTTTATAAAATATATATATGAAACAATCAAAGCCAAAGAAGTAGAGTTGTGGATAAAATAGAATGTCCAAAATTTTACTAATTTTGATCTCTTCAAATCCAACACAAATTTCAATTCTCAATAGGACTTTTAAATAGAACTTCAACTATAATTTATCAAATAGGATTCCAAAAAGAATTTTTCTTAATGTGTATTTTAATTAGAACTCTCAATTATATTCAGCAAAGAAATCGGGTCACGCCTAAATTCTAACAATCTCCACCTTTATACGAATTCCACTGCAATGAACAAAATTTCAAAAATTCTCCACCTGGAGACAAATTCCATTGCAAGAAATAAATTTCAATTCTTCAACAAAAAATACAAACGAAATTCTCTATCAAAATTAACTGAAAATATTTTCCACCTCTACCACCCCAACTAAGGGCAAAAATGATTTCATAATTGTTGACATAAGATTGACCATGACCTTAATGTTTTGATTATAACAAACAAGTCCATCTTGTTTACTAACAAATTGAATTGAGTGTTTAACTCTTCAAAGTTATAAAGATAATTATTCACACTCAAATGAAGTACAAGTGAAGTTTAAACGATCATTCAAGACAAATCACTCGAGACAATAGTGATTTGCA